CCCTGCAAAGCCCCCCACAGATCCTGCACAGCCCTCCTGAGATCTGGCAGACTGCAGGGTCTCAGGGGGTCTCTGCAGGATCTGTGGGGGCTTTGCCAGATCTCAGGGGGGCTGTGCAGGATCTGTGGGGGCTTTGCAGCCTGCAAAGCCCACCACAGATCCTGCACAGCGCCCCTGAGATCCGGCAGACGGCAGGGTCTCAGTGGGTCTCTGCAGGTTATGTGGGGAGCTTTGCAGGATCCGTAGGATGCTCTGCCGCCTGCAAAGCTCACCACAGATCCTGCACAGCCCCTCTGAGACCTGGCAGACTTCAGGGTCTCATGGGGGCTTTGCAGGATCTGCCCAGGTGAGTGTCGCTCAGTGTGAATGGGGCCTTAATGTTTGAATATGCGGGTTTCTCTATTTTGCCTAAGGCAGTGATGTTGAACGTTTCTTAAACCCGAGCACCCAAACTGCAATACTAAACTTATTTTCAGCGCTGGCACTTTGAGATAAATAAATTGATTTTGCGTCGCAGTTTGGGCACTCGGGTTCAAAAAGGTTCGCCATCACTGGCCTATACAGTATATCACACTGTAGATCATCATCAGAGATGATCCCACTGATGGAATCTTTTTTCAGCCAATGGAACCATCTACATAACTAGAAAGTGATAGTGATACTTACAAAAGGACCCGCTAACTCTACGTGCAAAAGAAAGATAACTCTGGGCCACGCATGTTACGTGACCACATATTCAGGTAAGTAATAAAGCCATTTTTCTTTGATTAGTGGAATGGGTAGAGGAAGTGGGTAAAATTTACAGGGGGATTGCCCCGGCCAGAGATCATCTTTAACAACATTTGAGAACATAGCGAAAACAAACAGAGAACATATTGTTAAAACTCCATGCATATGGTGCCCAAGGTGAGAACTGAAATCAGGACCCCAAAAACACAAGTAATATAATGAATTCAAAGTTAGGGGACCTGGATCTGTGCAGTGGATGCCACACCCCTAAAGGGCAATTATTTAGAAAAAAGGAAAGCTGGGGTTTTGTAGGCATCTAAATGACAACTTCCAGACCAATA